CTGTGACTGGACGAGCTGTGAAAAAGACCTGATGTGTTAATTCCTCCCTTCAACATGGAAGAGCAGCAGGAAGTTAGTAAGACCTTGTATGGTGCTCTTGTCGGCCTTCCAATCACTTAGTAATTTTATCAAGAGGGTCGTCTTACCAGCACCGGCGACACCTTCAATAAGTATGATTCTTTTGCCTTTGTCAATGGCAAGTTTTAGAATGTCTTCATATGGTATATCTTGGGCAGCTGTATCCCGCTTCACCTTAACTTGGATGTTTGTGAATACAGTGCCAATATCGAGGAAAAAGTCTGTACCGGCAATAAACGACACAGGATTAACATTTGTCCGTTTACCAAACAGCTCCACCAACTCTTGTTTACCAGACTGCTCTATGATGTCCAGGAGGTTGTCTCTGATGTAGTTGATGTCTTCATCTATGGTTTTAACCCGGTTATCTACTTCATCTTGATCAATGTTAAACACATCTTTTCCTTCACTATATACGTCTTTCAACAGTTTTCTCAGCTCCTCCGTCTTGTTCTTATAATCCTCAGGACTGACGGCTAACTCCCCGTGAAGCACTTCGTTGCGAAAATCTTTTACAGCTTTGAGTTTTTCCTGAAGGGGGTCCAGCTGGCCACCAGGAGCAGGGCCACGCAACAAGGTGATGCACAGGTACAGTAGCGAGATGTCATATTTCTTGCCAGAAGGGTCGGCGTCAAGTGTCTTAAGCTGATCCTTATTAAATGATTTCTTTAACTGTTTCTTGGTCTTGGTCTTGCTGAGGTCTTTACTCTCCAGGAACTCAAGAAGATTCATGTCTTCGGCCTTCCCCTTCTGACTGGCTGCTCGGGTGTACATATCCAGCAAGACTTGGCGACCCAGTTTCTCCAGTGTTTCGATGAGTTTTAACCTGTTGCTCTGCTCCTCCCCGGTAATGGGTGGTGGTGGTGGTGGTGGTGGTGGTGGTGTCGCCATGGTTGGTCATTACTAAGGGACAAAGGTCAACAGTTACTTGAGAGTGCAGCCTAACATTTATAAAGTGTTAATTAAGGTTAAAATACATTTATGAGTAACATTTATTAGAGTGAGCGGCGATAATAACACAAGGATAGATCAACTCAGTGTGCCAGTATTTGTTGCCAGAAAAACTAAACATTTATATAAAACCTTTTTTGATGTACAAATAATGTATATAAGAGTTGTAACATTCTCTTTAATAATCTCTAATATAAGTTGTGGCAACAGTCTCTCTCCTCTCAACCTAATATAAAAACTCGCCCACTGACGCATCACAAATACCAAGAACTTCACAACATTGTTACCATGACAACCAAACTCTCAACAAAGACTAAATCTTCCCCAGTAAACCAAGGGAACTTAGGAGCCTTAATTGACGGCGCTCAACCCTGGCCGTCATGGGAAACTCTAACTATATGGCCACATCGACTGTACGAATTAAACCGCGCCAAATGACCTTAGTAATCCAGCTACTCTTTTGTAGAAACTCTGGCAGACAATTTTCTGGACCTCATCATAACTAACGAGGAAGGTATAGTGGCCACACCTGGCCCCCGTTGGCCAAGGTTCAAGTATGACAGTGGTGATTACAACAGGTTGAGGGAGGGTTATTCACTGGCCTGACTCGCTGGTAAACAAGAATGCAGATACTACCCTCAACATTATAGTGAATAACGTGATCTATTTGAGTGATAAATATATAGTTATATACCCAAGACCAAACCCACTGGCTCCAGGGATACAAGGAGGCAGCTACACGTGAACCATGCGGCGGTGTACAAAGTTAACAAGAAAACTAAGAAATTCGAGACGTGGGTTAGGACAGGAGGATGTATGCAAGAGCCAGGAACCAAGCTGAGGCAGAGTGTAGAAGGGCTGATAAAGACTTCCAGAGGCGGAGTGCGAGTGAGGTCAAGTCAAACCCAAAAGCTTTTTACCATTATGCAAAGTTAAATAAAAAAAAATGCGTTTAAGCGTAACAGATCTAAGGCTTGAAGATGGTAGTTACGCAGATTCTGAACAGCTTCTTTTTCTCGGTGTTCACTGGAGAGGATGCTATTAACCTTCCTGCGTTTGAGGACAGACGGTTTGACACAGCACTGACCCACATTGTGTTCACAGAAGAGGGTATTAGAAATAAACTGCCCAGGCTAAAGGTCCATAAAAGTCCCGGCCCTGACATGGTGCATCCTAGAGTGCTAAGAGAGTTGTGCAACGAGCTTGCCGAGCCCCTGAAGATCCTGTTTTGTAAATGCCTGGATGAACAAATGGTCCCCAGTGAATGGAAAGTGGCTTATGTGAGTCCTATCTTCAAGAAGGGCGATCGTCACTCCACGAACAACTATAGACCGGTGAGCCTGACCAGCATAATATGTAAAGTACTTGAGAGTATTATCAGAGATGCCGCACTGGAACTTCTACTACGAAACAACCTTGTAAAAGATTGCCAACACGGTTTTATGCCGGGGCGCTCCTGCTTAACACAATTGCTCAAGGTAAAGGATATTTGAACCCATATTCTGGAACGGGGTGGTAATATCGACAATATATGCCTAGATTTTGCCAAGGCTTTCGACAGTGTACCCCACGAAAGGCTGAAAATCAAACTGGAAGGGTACGGGATTCGGGGAAATGTCCTAGCATGGTCATGACCGCAAGCAGTGTGTGGTGAATAATGACACGAAATCATCAAGTGTACCCGTCACAGGGCAGTGTATTGGGCCCGTTGTTGTTTGTTTGTTTCATTAATGACAAGCCAGAAGATATACACTCTTCCTTACTAATGATGAGGACGATGCCAAGTTATTCAGGTAAATTAAGAACCAAACAGACTGTGAAGAGCTATAGAAAGATCTCTGTCAGCTTCAGAAGTAGTCAAAGGAATGGGTTTAATGTTAGGAAGGGCAAGAGGACGTTGGTGGTACAGCGTAACTCTCACCTGTATGTCAAGGGTTCGAGCCTCGGCCCAGGCACAGGGAAGAAGGGTGTTATCCAGTGTGACTCTCACTACAGGCTTCCCGGTCTCGGGTTTCCTCCTGTACTAGATAGACCGACCACCTGAACGGCTAGTAAGGTGATAACTGGTCAAAATGATGAAGAGGATGCACCTATAAAATGTATCAACAGTACGGAGGCGTATTACAGGATTTCCTTCGCTTTATATCTCTCTGTATTTTGTTTATTTTTCTTAAAAATTCTTTGCATGACTCGTCATCATGTCTGTCTCTTTTAAACTTACGAGAGAGTTGATGTCTGTGTCTAGTTGATTCTAATATGGACTTATATACTTTGGGGCCTCAACTGACGCCACCTCGGTTGCTGGAGGATCGGCTTTTTTCACACTTCATTTTTCCAACATTCGCGGCCTGAGATACAATTTTCCTTCTGTGGAGCACCATCTATTAACCTCTTCCCCCGACCTCTTACCACTATCTGAACTTCAACTGACCAAAGCAGCTTCACCCAAACCTTTTCAAGTCTCCAACTACAACCTTTATACCTCCTTCCGTTCTAAGGTAGGTGTATGGGCCTACTGCAACACGCGTACACCTATAGCTCGACTCACGGATCTTGAATCTTCCCTTTATGATGTCATCTGGCTCAAAATATATCTACCAACTATGACTATTTTTCTTTGTTTCCTATACTGTTCTCCCAACTCTACCAACTATTTGGAACTCTTGACTATCTCACCTCTTGCCACGAGTCGTTGCTATCCACACACCCCAACACCGAGATCATCTACCTAGGGGATATCAATGTACATCACAGAGAGTGGCTTGGCTCTGCAAGGGATGACCCAGGTGGAGCTGAGGCACTCTCTTTTTCCCAACTTAATCATTTGGAACAAATAATTAAACGCGATCAACTTGATCTTTGTTTTACCTCTAGCCCCTCACACTATTCATACTCAATTTCTGCCCCCTTTGGGTCTTCTGATCACAATCTTATTTCTATTAAATCAAACTGGGCACGACCACCTCCCCCACCCCCCTCTAAACGTCAACTATGGCACTATCAGAGGGCAAGCTCGCAAGCCTTTCGAGAATTCTTCACCGACTTTCCTTGGGATGAATGTTGTTTCTCCACTCGTAGGGACGCCTCGGTATGTGCTGAGAGCATTGCTGGAGTTATACAGTGTGGTATGAGCGCATTTATCCCATCTTCTTCCAAAACTTTCACTTTACAATCATGGTTTGATCGCTCCTGCTCTCTTGCTTGCAGGGTGAGAGATAGGGCATATCGAGCTATGAAACTATCTCCTTCTCCTATTACCCACACCTCTTTTATTACTTCTAGGAATCGTTGTAAGGCTATTCTTCTTAGGGCCAAGCGGAATTGTATAAAAATAAAGACTCTGTTCTTCCTCTAGTAAATCCTTCTGGTCCTTAACCAAAAACATCTGTAATAACTTCTGCACTCCTTCTTTTCCTCCTCTCTTCCGATCTGATAACTCTATAGCCAACTCTCCCCCTGACAAAGTCAATCTCTTTGGCACCTTATTCTCCTCTAATTCCACCTTAGACGATTCCAACTCTATCCCTCCTTCCCCTGCTCCTCCTACTGAACCTATGCACTTTCATATAATCTTCACTCGTAGGGATGCCGGTGTGTTATCCAGGTTGGAGGGAAGTAAGGCGCATGGACCGGACAGAATACCCCCTCGTGTTCTGAGGGAGTGTGCTGAAGCTCTGGCCCCTGTGCTTTATAATGTATATCTATCAGACCAAAGCATCCAGGCCAGTAGTATAACACAGACTTAGCAGTAACCAGGGGAGCACGTGTTCACCCACGGAAGTTGACACACCCTACAGTGACTAAGGTGAGACAAGGACCTGACCCAAAGGAGGTCAAGGTCACAAAGGGAACAAGAATTCTCACCGCCACGCGATTAGCTTAACCCGGCGTCATGACCTTGTTAATTCAAGGAACTGCTACCCAGCCAGCACTTCTGTTACCTGACCTAACAGCCGATCTAGACACACCCA